AATAAATAACGAATAAATCTACCGTACTTCCATTTTTCGTCCATTATTCCAGCAAAACGGTGCCAATCTCGGTTCGACAGCCCCCGCCAGCCATGAAATTTACAAGCCTGGCGCGCCTGGAGGCTAACAAAAACGTCCGCAGGAACGTTTTTGTATCCCTGTCGCCAATTAATCCGAGCCAGGAGCGCACACGTGCGGCCGCATACATAATTTCAGGTCGATGCGTCGAAATCGCCGCAGGATTAATCGAGACGCGTATTGTCGCGGACAGGGCGTTGTCTGGGCGCGACACGCGTCCCCAGACGCGCGATCGATCACTCCTAGATCGATCTATCCCGTTCGGGAGCACCGACAGAATTCCATAAGTCGAGGACATTTTCCGAATTCGCGGCAAATCGAAGCCACGCGGGGCATTCGCGTGCGCGGTTCACAAAATACGCGAGTCGTGGCGTAAAATGGCTGGAAACGATTGGAAGCAAACATTGAACTCTGAAATCGTCCCTAAACGTGACAATTCGACGCCCTGGGAATGTTAAATGGAGGAGTTCGATTTTATAGGAAATTTTGCTTAATGGTCATATGGACAATAATGTTGTAAATAACAGACGAAGGAGGAACTGATAAAGGACTGATAAATGGATGTGTAAGACCTCACGTGTACTAATGCAATGTGTGCTATTCGCGCCTTCCTTTACACGTTTGCACACTCACGATAAAATATTTATTGGGCAACGTTTAATTTAGACACATTGGGTTAATAGACCTAGTCGATATTTATGGAACGCCAGAAGAGAAACCTACAATAATACCTGCATTTTGATAAATAATTTCACGAAATACATTCAATAAAATTCATCTAGAACTGATTTGGAATTTCGACCAGCGATTCGTCCCTGTAGAAATTCGGGGTACTCCAGAGATGGTCCCGTTCGGACATACCTAATCTACCCCAACGGCTCGGAATCATCTCGCCAACAGTTGAGGCTCGCGCGTGCGTCACAGATACCGCGACGCGGGAATCACAGCAGAATTAATCGAGTCATAATTCGTGGAGGGTTGGTGTATCTTCCCTTATTGCGTAGGCGATACGGGCGCAGGGGGCGTATTCGGGCAGATGCGCATAGCTGGTCGTAGGCTACGGTCGCCCATCGATATGTACACGCGTGCATAGACGCGTACGTGCAGAAATGCATACGCGCGTGCCAGCGCATACGCGTACAGGCCTGAAGCGTGTTCCACGGTTCCTCGATCACGGAAATTTACGAGCAGACTGTGCTCCGTGCAATCCGCGGTCGAATATGACGGTCAACCCCTCCCCGGGGAGTTTCGCGTCGTCCAGGAATTTTCGCGCGAATTCGATCGACCACCCCTTCGTGAACGATGGTCGTCCTTTCTGGGCAGATTCGATTCAGCAAAATTCTCGTTCGGAGCATTTCGGTGGGCGTTTTTTGGAGATCTTTGTTTGCGATTTTTTTTTTTGGTGGTGGTGATCAATGTTTTGCCTTGGGAGGATTTTAAGAGAAGATAGGACTGACATTTTTTTATATGAACCGTTCACTGCACAAATCGAATAACTCCATAAAACAAAAAGTTGAGTTGATCGATTTGGGCAGTGAACGGCTCATACCATATTGAAACTGAAACGAATATTAAAAGATCATAGTTGAAAACTTGACCGTTCATTCGCGATAGCCTTCTGGTTATTTCTTGGCCGCTCGGTCTCAATGTGGGGCACCGCTTTTGTGCCAATAACCAGCTAACCACCGGTATTCACCGTGTCAAACTCGCATTAAAGAGAATAACGCGTCGAGGTCGCTGGATAAGTGGCCAGCCATTACTTTCGCGATTATCCTTTTTATGAAAACTGTCAGCCTTCGATTTCGGCCGCCGTTACGAAACAGGTTATAATTTCGCGAAATCCGTCTGCATTTTCGAGCGTCCATGGCGTCTCGTAAATTCTCCAATTATTAGGGTGTCATACGAAACGTTGAATATTTCCTAGCTTTGTTTTAATCCTGTTACACTGGCAAGTTAATAAATAAATTTAAAAAGAGGATTACCATGTGATACAGAAAATCGACGTTAAATCTGACCACATTTCTCTAACCACCCTGTATAAGAGTCCGTTTCGTTCCGTGGGTAAAATCGCGACGGACCTCTCATTAATCTGTTCCATTAGCCACCCCCTTCCTCCCATTCGGCTTTGAATGCCGCCTTTATGAGCCACTACGAGAGTTTCGTAAAGTCCACGTGACGAGTCTTATCGTAGAAACGATGGAAATTCAACGGACGCACGGACTCGAGTAAACTTCGTGGGAAAGCAGGAAGAAAATCTACAGAAGAGGGGGATTACTTCATGCCCGGTAAATAGAAACGTATGTCTAAGAACAACTCTACGAGAACTCTGCTTCGAATCTACCAGAAAATAAAGGACTCCGGAAAATAAAGGAGTGAAATGTTCTAGGAAAATTAACCCTTTTAGACCTGTATTATTTCTTTTTTCTCGTACTAATATAATTTAAGTTTTAGGGTTAACTTGGAAAAAATAAAAAGAACTCTTCACAAATGAGGAGATTCGCTCTAAGCGAGAGTATCGGTAATATTAAAATTTGTGTCCTGGCTTGTTGACGCCAGGTCTGAAAATGGAATATATCGGAAATGTTCCTTTCAAGATAAGAAATCGAGGAAGCACTGAACCAAGCAAGCGACGAAAATGAAAACATGATTAGATTCACAGTGTTTTCACGAACAGAAATATTTCCTCGTAATACTAAATGTTCCCAGAATACTAAAATAATTGTTTCCAGCGCAAACATCGCGGGCATAAAGCACCCCTCGGTATAGGGGTTGAGGTGTTCCAGAGTCGAGCGACCGTTTACCAAGCGGGAATTAATTTACGCAGTCCTCGAGGCGCGAGTTGACGCGAAAAGAAAATAAGGAGGGCCGAAACCTCGTTAAGGGTGAGTCTCGCGTTCTCCCCTTGGGCCTCAGGACGTACTAGCACGCGTGCTACAATTTATTGCATCTTTCTTGCGCGTTAAACCGTACTATGAACCGCATACCTAATGCTCCGTTCCCGAGCTCGGCTGAATCATAAATCGTACGACTCTCCCTCCCTCCTACACCCAGGTTTCTTACGCGAAGTCGTGTCTCGAGATCGTGCACCTTGAAGAGCAACCACGAGCAACGAGACGCTACATACTACCCTCGTGGACAATAATTTCTATCGCATCTACCGTCCCTCCTTCGAACAGGGATGCAATTTATTCCTTGGGATTCTAATTATACGTGGACAGAGGCTTGATAAATTGAGTTTGATTATAGATGTTTCCTTATTCCTTAACCCTTTGCACTTTGCAATTATATTTCAATTTCATTAGGAAGAAACAAATTCGCTGAAATACCAGTTTACGCTCACTTTTGTTGTATTTTGTGATTTTCAAGTGTATGGTATCTCTTGAAACAATTTCCTTCGCTGTTGATTTGGACACGAAACAATGTCGAGTGGGACTCGACAAAGTAGTGCAAAGGGTTAATTTTCTATTCCATACAGATGAAATTGTACCCACAGTCCGAACAGTGAAAGTTTCGGTATTTTCGATCAACCCTCCACAGTTTTCAATTACAGCTACATTTTCCACGCAACAGCCTCGCCGCTGATGGCGGCAAGTTAGAGCAACTTCTCGCGGCACGGGCATAGATTCACGTAATTACCACACCGACGGTCCCGTTGGATTATACTCCGAGGCGAAGCGAACCATGCAACAATTTTCTATCGCGGTAGTTCCCAGAGCGGCCTGTTTACAACGCGTTTCGTCGAAAACACGAAGTTCGGATCGTCACGGTGGATCACGCCGGCCGCAGGAACGGAAATGGCTGGAAACTGCTGACAAAACGACGAACGAGAAAAGTGGCTCCCGCTGTAATGGCGGTTCGATGTACATCCGATAGAAATATAGAAGGGGGGATGGAAACGCGTCTCGGTTAATTCAGAGTTGTAATTACTGGAAGAACCGGCTGACTCGGCACGCGAAACACAATGCACCGATGGAAACGGCGAATGTAATTATTGCTTTGCTGTCGGTCGTATCTTCCCGAACGAAGCTTATCGCGGATCGCATTAAAATTGGACCACCCGTTAACGGTGCCAAATTCGATTCGCGGTGAGCCTGGAGAACGCTCGACCTTCGAATAACAGGTGCGATTTTCGACCGAACGGGACACTTTTGGCGATAACTCAGGAATATTAATGAAATTTATGGAGGGTTGGTGTTGTTCAGGTGAGAGAAGAAGGGGTTTAAGTCGTCATTTTGGCGGGGTTGATACTGCAGTTGGCAGTGAATGATTTAAGAAGTACAAGACCATGGAGTTCTGAGATATTTGTCGAAGTCGAAAAAGGGGTGGGTGGATGAATTTTTAATTATGGAACTGTACATTGTACATGGTTGATATTGACTTTTTTTAGACTATAATTTCTGTTAGTAAGAGTACCGAGTTCGTAATGCAGCTGGTCTCCGAGCAATAAATTTCATCAACACCTGACCTGATACCTGTATTTAAATCACCAATCAAATTCCATAAAACGCAAACGGATAGGCGTGAAAACCCATAATTTCCCGCTGTAAGACGGACACGAAACCCAAAATCCTCGTTTCCACCTGTAATTGAGATATCAGAATACCCATATCTATCAGACGTCGCTGTGCAATTACTCGAGCGGGCTGAATCGCGCGGTGTAATTCAGAGGCTGGAAGACGTCGGGCGTCGCGGGCGTTTAAAATATGGCTCGCGACGGAGAAAGCAGTCGAACGCGGCGCGAAACATCGTTTTTCCGCGGAGCCCCATCGTGTGCAATTATCGCCGGGAAAAATGCACGCGAGCGCTGTAATTTGCAGAGCTAAAAACACGTGTCGATAACGGGGCTGGCAGCGTTCGATCGACGCCGGGGCGTGGAGCGAACCATCAGCGCCGAGGATAAAAGAAAAGCAGTTATCACTCACCGCTTTCACGGAGTCGTAGTCCCCCTTCCTCAGCAGATCCATCAGCCTCTGCCGCTCCATTTCTTCCTTCGTCACGTACACCTTGGCCACCCTGAATCGAGCGTCCTGGAGGTTTTCGTAGTCATCGCACAGGACGTTGTGAAACCCTATGGGCCTCTGGTGAACCACGTGCTCCGCGATCTTGTCGACCACGACCAGCTCCGATCTCGGATGCTCGGATTTCGGTAGGTCCTGCTCGAACTGAAGATTCTTCACCAGAACTTCGTTCACCACCTCGATCTCTCTAGAATTAGTCTTTTCGTTCTCGATCTGGTCAGGTTTCGCAGCATCAGGACGAAGCCCGGACTCCGACGCCTCGCTTCTTCCTTCCTCGACCTTCGACTTCTGCCTTTCACTCTCCAGCTCGTCCAGAGGTATCGTGGCCGTGGACAGATTGCTCCCTTCCCGGGTGTGACAGAATTGACTCCTGTCGAGCGCGTTCCCGTGATCATAAGGGACCTCGAAGTCCTCGAGGATCATGATCGGTTCCGCAGGTTTTTCCTCCTGTTCGTTGCCCCCCGACGAACCGGTCTGGCTCGTTTGGACGCTGCAGGGGGAGCAGGACGAGTGGAACGTGACGAAGGTCCTCACAGGCTCGTAGGACGGTTCCTTCCTCCTCTCTGGCGATGCCCTAGGTCCTCCGTTCGCCTGGAGAACCTTCTGACTCAACTCGATCTCAAGATACCTACGCACGGATGCTTCGCTCTTCTGATCGTCCTCCTCGATGGTCTCCAGGTGCTCGTACCGCGATTCACCGATTCGTTCGTACATATCCTCTTCTCGCTTGTCGACTTCCACGGGTTCCTTGGGAGGCATCTCAGCGGCACCTCCCTCGCCATAGGCGGAGACCTGCGACGAAGGTCGCAGAATGGACTCGAGGTCGTCGGCGTGGATCACCTGGGGCTGCAAGCTGCGCTCGTAGATCTTCTCCACGTGGATCGGCGGGGAGTACCTAGCCCTAGATGTCTCGTTTGACGATCTAGACCTGGCGTTCTGCTCGTTCAGTTGCTGGAGGGCGGCGTAGACGCGGTTGTTCGGCTTGAAGGTGGACGGAGGTGATGCGATGGTCGATACCTTGCCTCGATCGGTTTTAGCGTCCTGAGGACAAGGGACCTGCTCCTTTCTAGGGAGAACAGGAGGTTTCCTAGCTTCTGGCGGCAAATTCCCCGCTTGAGGATTCCTTCTCGTGACTCGGGACTCCTGTTGACCTTGGATCGTGCGGACACGCGCGCCCACGGTCTCCTGTCTCGTCTGGTCTATTCTGCTCTCTCTCTTCTGCCTGGTCTCCATCGATTCACCGATAATCCTCCTCGAGGCTTCCATCGATTTACAGGCGGCATCAGCTGCTTTATCGCTACCTCGCGGTGAATCGCTCGTGAGAGTCGGCCGCCTACTTTCTCCGTCCTTATTTGGCGAGATCGGCTCCTCGCCTTGGTCGCCAAGGTTGCTCGGGCCCTTCGTGGCCAAGCAGCTACCTCCTCCCCTCGGCCTCTGGCCTGTCTCTTCCTTAACGAGCGGCCTCGTCCCGCCGCTCGAGCTTTGATCGTGGGTCTGGGATCGCTTCAACGACGCTCGCCTGCAGGGGATCACCGCAGTTGTCGTCGGACTGCCGGTAGCCGCGACGGTTACCCCAGATATCCTACCGTGTTCCGACTCGTTTCTGGTCTTTACCAAACTCGTCGTGACTTTACTGCGACAGTTCTTCTCTGGCTCGGCGATGCTGTCCTCGTTAGGGGAGTCCAATCGTCTGGATCTGAAACTGGAGCTCAAAGGACCTCTCTGAGGGATCCTCGAGTTAGTAGACGGGCTGATGTCCCTGGATCTGACGTTGTTCGACGCGCTGAAACCGTAATCGTGCTGTTTACCCCTGTTCTTCAGGGCTAGGTACTCCTTGTAGGTCCCCCTGCTGGTGTTCACCGCGACGTTCGCTTTGTTCGTCTTGTCCGCCTTCTTATCAGCGCGACTGAGGTCGTCGTAGCTCGACGAAGTTCCGTTCGACTTGTCCCTGCCCTCGTCGATCGACCTGGACCTCGAGTCCTGGCGATATCGCCTCTGACTCTTCTGCTCGGCGCTGCTGTTCGACCGCGTTAACGGTTTCTCTCTAGACGCCGGGAAATTCTGGCTTTGAGCCTGGCTCAGCCACTCGTCCACTCGCTTCTGAACTTCCCCTTTGCGAAGCAGCACTTCCGGAACTTTGCTACGACTGGCGTCCACTGTTATCTGGCCGGCGCGAGGAGGACAATCGTCTTCTATCGGCGACGCTGGAACGCGTTTCACGGATTCCTTCTGCCTCTCACGCGACCGCTGTCTCACCTGTGTTTGCTGGTTTACTTTTAGAACTGGCTGGGTCTTCTCGCGAACGGGAGAACGTTTGGGATGCGTCGTCGTCACCGAGACCCGAGACTTGTCCTGCTTCTTCTGCTGGTCCATCATCACTGCCTCGAAGTTCGACACGCTGATGCTCTCCACGTCGCTCAAATCGGACGATCTCCTGTAGTCGAGGTCCTCGTACTCGTCCAGGATGTTGTTCACGGACTGAGTGTCTATGGAACTGATGCTCTTCGACTTGTTCCTCACTACACTCTCGTCGCTGCTGGAGTAACCGTGATTCTGTTGTTGTTGTTGGCGATCGCGACTCAGTTGGCGTTTTGGACGAGTCTTGGGCTTCTGATATTTTAATACCGCGTTTTCATAGCGCTGCAGAGGATTCTCGGGCGCGGTATCCACCGTTTCGATTTTGTTTCTTCTCGCAGCAGGCGCCTGGCGGACGTACCTATGCTGCGGGGACACTTTTTGACCCAACATGGCTCCTCTTTGTAAAGGAGAAGGACCTCCCTCTCGAGGATCGATCTCCTGGCCGTTTTTCGATTGAGCTATCGAACGAAAGGTCGCGAAACTCTGAGCGCATCGCGAGCCGAGGTTCGAAGCGGCTTCCTTCGTCGACTCCCTCCGCGCGACGTTCGAGCGGACGCGATGATGGTCGATGGCCGGCGTTGGGCCATCCTCGTCCACGAATGGAATGTTGTTGCCGGCGGTTAGGGTCTTCAGGATTATTTCATCGTTCATTTTCGACGGGATCGCATCTTCCCCTCCGAGCTAAGGGGGCGCTCCTTTGTCCTCCTGCAATCAAGAGAAGTCGTTAGTGGTGGAGGTGGAGAGAGAATAGTTGAAGCAAAGTTGTTCAAAGATCAAATCGAGCGAAGGAGACAGAATTACACAAGTCGAAATGCACTACTCTATTTATCTGTATCATAGAGAATGGACCAATGCATTAAAATAAAAACAAAGTTGACTTTAAAAGCGTTATTTCAATCTGCAATATACTTTGAGACCCATTCGTAATTCGAACGTTAAAGGTTGTTTTGGAGAACGGTTTAGCGCCACGGCAAAGACGGCGCTTCCGTAAAACGGTCCTTTGACAGGCTTCCGGTTGAGCCGCACGTTTCGTCAACGGAGAAATTTCCGGTTGTTGGCCGATATCCGGTCGGAATTAATTCGATTTTCGGGCCTTGGTCGCATTAGGTATCGTAACGGTCGGCCACGCGTTCGTGCGTCGAATCGTTAAAGACTATAACGACCGTTTGAAATTCAATATGGCTGTCCGGTGGCCGCACGGTGAATATTGACTATCGAGAAGTACATTTGCCTGGGTCATGCATATTTATTTCGTCGGTGATCTGACAAATTGATCGCCTTAACGCTGGTTCGTTGAGGATAAAAAACAAAAAGAGTAGTCGATAATATTAGACGAGATTCTGAAGTTGTTTACACGCGTAGATAGATTAATTCGAACGTTCCTGAGTGACATCATAACTCTCTCAAATATCGAATTGCTTGTTTTCAATTTACGATCGAATGTATAGATCGATTTCAGTGGATTTTTTTCCATCTGCGATTTTTGATTGTTAAATAAAAAAATATTTATATAAAACTGACAATGAAACCGGAAGTTACTGAATTTCACGTGTATTCGTTCCATATTTTATAAATAAACGAAAATATCGATTGCCTTGTCGGTGTTTTGTTTGAACGAAGATAACTTTACGATTCTACCTCGGTAATCGAATTATTCCGAGCCTCTAATAGACAAAGGAAGCTGAAAGCACGACTAGTACAAGCCTTCGCGGATGTGCTAAAATGTTTCGCAAACAAGATCTCCAGGTCTGAATAAACATTTAATCAAAGCAATCGCAGCTCTTCCGCCTCCGCGGATTGCTACAGGTTTGCCGCGATGTTTCGCAGCAATTAGAGCAGCTCCTGCCAACTACACGTGATTGCAATTCCGCCCCATACGATCGGGCCTTGATGTGACAAGGCAGAGCCACTAAATTTCATTTATGCATCGCGTTGCCGATCCTCTCTGTACTTCAAAGTTAAACGAAAATATACACAGCCGCGTTAAGATGCTATTCAAACAAAGACAACTCTCTCGATGTACCTTTTCCACTAGTGATCGAAGTATTCTCAGGCCCTAACGAACAAAGCCTACTGAAACACAAGCCTCAAGGCACTAAAATGATCCCCAAACAGAACCTCCACAAATATTTAATCAAAGCAATCGTAGACCTCGCGTTTTCGTATATTGCTAGGGGTTTGCCAGCATGTTTCACACTCCCGAGAAGGATCGAGAGATGAATTAAATTAAATCGCCCCTTCAAACGTACTTCTCCAAACGATTCCCACGCGGCTCCGCCCTCGAGAGCGATCTCCTAGCTGGAATTTCCACTTTTAGATCGTCGATGGAGATACACGATCGTGGACCAACGCGTGGCGGATCCTTCCTGGCTCCTCTCTCCAGAAATTGACCCACAATTAAGACGTTGCCACGGAGTAGAAAGCGTAAGCGTGGAACGCGAACAGAGGCTTGGCGATCGCTAAACGGGCCACAAAAGCGTTTCTTTTTCGAGACAATGCCAGCCACGCCACAATGCTCGAATAAAAAGAAATCGAAGAGAAGAAGAGGGGCCAGGCCGAGAGAGAGAATGGTACGAAACAGAAGGTTCGCGTAATTATGATCTTGAAGAGAGAAAAAAAAAATATATATATATACATTCCCGCCCGGAGCTACAACGCGTCCCTGAATGCCGACGTTTCACGCTCGACGTAAAAACCTATTTTTCGGATGCACTGACCCGGATCTTAAATCCGTCGGTGAAACCATTACCGCCATCGAGTTACGCGGCGAATAACAACGCGGATTCGCGAGCAACCCGCTGGAATGACGCTACGGGAGCATCGTCATTCGTTACTAATCCCTCGCCTGGCTATTCCGACGCGATCACGGTCCGATGCAATGCGCAAACATTGACTGCTACCAGTGCTTATCAAACTATGCAATTATTTCTTTTTAATTGGATAATTCGTATCATTTCAATAACATTTTATTATTGTCTCTTTATCTTTAATTAACATTACTTTCTCAGCCCTTATCTGGCTACCCTCTTTCCTTTATGGCCGGACAAGCCTCGGGAACGAATCTTCTATAAAATTCCCCAAAGCAATATTGTTTGAAGTTGGCCGCCGTCGTGCGCGAGGTGTTCCCATTTGGAAATATTGCTAATCGACAAAAATGCAGCCGGCAAGGTTGCATTTCCGCGATTAACGGGATCGCGGGATTCAGGCGTGCGCTCGCGATTCAGTGACCCTAATAGCGAGCAAGGATGCATCGAGGTGATTTGCCACGATTACCGCGATTACGCTGCGCCGCTCGCGAGATCCGGCGATATCGTCTCGTTAACGCGAGCGGACTTATTCGTGATTCCCCCCCCCCCCCCCCGTCTCCCCCTTTTTGCCTTCCACGGACAATTACCAGTAGCGATATTTCCATACTTCGCACGGCTAGCTGAAACGGCGATATTTCCATATTTCGCGCGATTAATTAGTGCGGCGATACGCCGGGACTTTGATTAATCGCGGAAGCGTGGATTGAAGAACGGGAGGAGAAGTGAAACTGTATTTTATGCGGAAAATAAACGCGTTATCCAGAGGTATCCTTTTTTAGGATATGTATATGTCTCGCGAGTCTATTTTCTTCATTTTATACCTATAAATCCTTTGGAAGTTGACTTTCTATCCTCAACAAATCTTCTATTTCTAACATTCTGTCTTGGTCTTTATTTTTATATAGCAAACTATTTGAAGTAAGTTAAATTCGTATTCGATACCAAATTACTGATAATTGAAGTAGTAGGTAAATTTGCCATTCCTGGTCAAAGTGCGCGCGTTTACGACGGCAAATAATCGTACCTCGATTAATCGAGATCCCACCGTGCTTCCATATTTCTGCTCTATCTTGACTCCGTTGTTCCAGAAATAATGGTAGAACCGATTCAAAATGGTTTGCGTTTCTCTTACCATAAAATCTACACTGCGATTTGCATAACCAGGGAACGCACTCGTCTATCGCTAAAAGGAATATATCCACGTCGATATCGAAATGGGCCACAACCAGAGATGGACAGAATTTTATTCCAATAAGACGCGTAAGTACTCCGTATAACAATTTATTCCCAACATTCGATCGAACGTTTACGGAAATAGCCTTGCCTCGAAAGCATTATACATTATTCAGACTGCAATTTTTATATCATTCGGATTGCAATTTATTAAACAGCTCGTTTGTTTCACTTAAACTTGTTAGTCGATCCACTTTGAGATAAATTGTTTTCTCGATTCCAAATTATTTATCCGACAAAGAATCTCGCCCAGGTCTAGCCATAACTCGAGAGGAACCATAACTACACGACGATTCAATTCAGGTTGGTCGGATCAGCATAATCTGGGCCTAGATTGAAGGACCGGATCTCGATCGAGGTCTGCGCCGGTATCAAAGAGTTAATTCGGGTTGGGCTCGACTCTTGGACTACTGGCCATCGCCGCGTCCAAAGAAAAACTTCCAGAGCCTCTAAAAACGCTGGGACCTCTCGTCGAGCGCCGGCTTTCCTTGGGAATACATTTGCATAAATTTCGTACCGCCCGAACGTAAAACCCGCAACGGAGAATTCAGGACTCCGAGAAGACTGAGATGGATTCCAGACGAGTGAATCTACAGAACTGAGATACGGATGGACTCATGGGCTCCGTTGACCAAACAATAGCAAGTTTCAGTTATTTCTTCGATATTTTTAAAGCATTGGATGTACAGGTACTGATACAGGGTACTACAAAAATAATAATAGCGAATCTCCTAGGAATAAATACTGAAATTGTATCAAACATCACCGCTACAAGAAAATTTATCGATGCTTCACTATCAACCACTACGACAGGTCTAGTAAAATTAAAATTACAGTAATGCAACCTCACCTAACATCTAATTTCACCTGCAAATTTTTCTTAACTGCCCAATATCAAACACTAAGTAAAACTATGACTACTATGGTCTAAAATCAAGAAATGAAATGCCATCAGACTCTTGCTTTCTCGACTAGTAATTACGACACGGAATCGTGTAAAAAACGCTCCCTCTGAATACCAAGCGCGATCCGTCCGCATTCTAATCGTCTGTGCTCGATCATCGCAGCCTCGAGCTCGCGGATCGAGATGCGGATCGAGGATCGAGGGGGACCACACGCGCGGCGTCGACGCCTCGTCTCACGTTTCGCGTGGAACGATCCAACCATCGCGCGTACGCGAATGCTAATTGTACGAGTGGTCGATACACTTTCTTCGTTTGCGATTCGCGTCGCACTTGTTCACACCCGTGAATCGCACCCACGCGGAGTGTGGGCTTCTTGCACACAGCCGGATGGACGAATGCGCTGGCACACGTAACCAGGGATGGGCAGAATGTTAATCGCTAAATTTATGCCATTAGACAAGTAGTTAGGTAAGAGTCGGTCTGAACACGAGAGTTGTTGACGCATGGACTGCGAGGTTTGAGGTGTATTCAGGCTTGTGATTATTAGAATTTCTACTGATTTTATGGGAAAAAAAAGATATGAAAGCTAGTGGCATTTATATAGAAGTATTTTCAGAATTTGTAGCGAAGAGGAAATTTTGGTTTAAATAACTCTTGTGTCGAGACTGACTTGAGCAAAACAGTGATTGGACCAGTGATCTCTATAATCATGAAATAAAAACTGAAACAGTTTTCTACATTAAAATTTCCTTCCTCGATA